CGACAACGGGCGGCAGAAACGCCGCGAGGTAAAAAGAGAAAAAAAAAGAGAAAGCAAACATCCAGGGCTCCCGGGCGCGCGCTCTCCCCGCAGAAGCACGGCTTCGCAGACGATCCTCCTCACCCCACATCGGCGGCCCAGCAAGACCGCGATTTTTCGAGAACGAACGGGGCGGGGTCAGACCGAGCTGAGTCATCCGACGCGGAGGGCAGACAAACCGTCTCGCCTCTCCCCAGCCTTCGCTGCGTATCGCGCCGACGAAATGACGAGAAAGATCTGGAAAGTCGCGCGCAAGGTATTTAACCGAGCAGCCGAGACGAGAAATCAGGAGGAGACGGAAGTTAGCGCCGGAGCGCGTAGGAATTCCGCCGTGTAGTCGGCGAAGGTTCTGCCCGTAGTGACAGAACAGGAGGAGACGGAAGTGAGCGCCAGAGTGCGTAGAGAGTCCGCCGTGTAGTCGGCGAAGTTTGTGGTCCGTAGGGACGGCTCGAGCTACAGGCAAGAGTGTGTGTTTACCGCTATCGAGCGAAGACCCGTGGCAACCGCTGCGAGTGTGAAGCCGACGTGTTCCGGCGAAGAAGTTGAAGTTGGAAGAGTGGCCAATTGAAGACGGGAGGTTTCCTGGAAGAGACTTCGAGAGCTGCGGAACGACAACAACGCTGGACTTTGAGTGAGTGATTCTCGGAAGAGTATCATTCAGACTTTTGTTCCAAGGACTTTGGACTGAATAGGTTTTATATCTCTTTAGTCTTTAAGTGTCTTGGTTGTTCAATGCATGCGACTGCATTGTAGTGCGTATTGTTGTCTGTGTCCGTTGTTTCAAGTGTGGTTGATTGTACTGTGTAGTACATTGTCTGTTTGGTGACGTATTGTATGTAACTATTGTGGAGTGTGCATACGTGTGTATTGTTTTCGATCTGCCGTTAATGAGAATACAATTTTGTTTGTTTATCAACTCTCGGCTCTGACTTGTTCTTTGGACCACAGCCGGCGTCCGCTGGCGCACCAATAAGGACCACTTCTAAATTGTCCACGCTTTCGTGGTGCGGTTCGGGGGGCCGATACTTCGGCTCTTGGAATTAGCCCGGCGATCGCCTCCCTAATTAACGGGACAGGTGTGACACCCGCTGAGCGATGAAAATGCTGGCCTACACTCAAGAGAAACTCGCTTGTCATTAACTCTTTGTGAAATCAAATGTACGCCAGTGGTTCTGGCGACATAACGATACCGAGGCACGAGATCCAGATGAAAAGAACGTTATCGATCCAGATGAAAACAGTGCCCACGGCAGTGTCCACGCTGTGTCCACGCCAGTGTCCGCAGCTTTGAGAAGCTGCACACACCACTGTAACACGACTGCATTGTGCTTCCTCAGAATTTGCAGTTAGGTTAATTTAATGAGAACGAAACTCGAAGGTTGTGGGTGCAGATCCCACCGACGGAGAGGGCGATTTTTCATCCACTCTAATTCCTTTCAATTTACGTCAAACTACTTGCACTACAATGAAAAAAAAAAACCTTGGTGGACGCTTGGTTTCGCCGGTCAAGAGTACAACGTGATAGCGTTATCGGACACCACTTGTACCGCCTGCTAAACTGCTAGCCTCGCGGCGGTTCTAGGTGAATGTTTCAACCGTGCCCTGAGAAAACGAACCACTGTGTGCCATAACATTAGCCGTTTCAAACTATCCTACAAGGCCTATACTGCAAGAGCAAATATTGTTAAGTGCCCACTAATCCATAATCTTTTGTCTTACGAATCAGCTAAGGGCCCGTTTCGCGTCAGTAAAGGAACACGCGAACCTACGCAGCTGTTCACTTTGTTGGTGCACTCGCACCTCATGATGATTAATATGTATGTGTAACGTTTTGTAATGAGGGGGTCTTTAACACACTCACTCATTGCGTAATTCACGCGTTTTGACGTCTGGCGTGAAGAACAGTACGACCAGACCTTCACATCATTTTTTTGCTCTTTTCCCAAACCAGATTCAAGTATAAGCACAGCACTTTGGTAGAAACCCTGCTTGCCACGCAGACAATCTTTGATACTCAAGCGAACCAAGATATGATTACATTATTTGCGTCTTTCTTGATTTTTAGGTCATGAACATGATGGTTTTTCGCTTGCAACCAACGACGCCGACAGCGGCACCGAAATTTTCGCAAAACGAGTGCTTTAACGATATGGCCTTAGAAAAGCTTGCCTCTGCTTAATTGACTGTCGGTAGTTATCTCTACCAATGCTACTAGCCATTCGAAGAATTCCTCGTCTGTCGGACTTCCAGCCACCTTGAGAGGTGTGTTTGCAATAATTATAAATTGACCGTTTAAACGTGATGTCACAAGCGACGACAAGAACCAATTACTAGCTGATACAAACAAGCTTTATTGCTTTCCCACAAATCTGCTTTACTAACAGGCCGACTAGGGCTGTTTACAGTTGCATGGATCGTTCACATACATAAAACTTGTCGCGTATCACACACACAGTTGAACTTCGGTTCGTCCTTCCGTGTTATTTATAACAGGCGTTACGACCAAAACTTTTTTAAGCTTGCTTGATACCACCACAGCCAATGTCGCACTTATGTCGGTACGATGCAGCTAACACTGCTGCTGAGTGTGTATTGTCATAATTATTATTATCACGGTGTGCTTTCATTTCTGCATTATAGATGCTTCAGCAAACGAAGTGTCACTTTGGCGTGGCCTTCACTGTAAATCTTGCCTGACCATCCTCTAAACCATACCATCCTCTAAAATCCTCTAAAATCTGGACCCGCCACGACGGTCTCGTGACTAAAGCAACAAAATTTTCGATGGAGACAAAATGCTTGACGCTCGTATGCCCAGATTTAGGTACACTTTAAAGAACCCCAGGTGGTCAAAAAATCCGGAGCCCTTCACTATGGCGTCTCTCATAGTTATATGTTGGCTTGGCACGTTAAACCCCAACAATTAATATTTTGTAATAAATCTGTTATATGGTACGCATAAACGTATGGAATGGCTCTACACATCATTTCACCTAAGCAAATTAGTAGTACGTTTTTGACATGCCAGTACTCTGAGTTCGTTTCCGAGGTTGTCGCCGTAATGAAGGTGGCTGCAGTGGCATTGCTTTTCATCAAGAACCAAGTTTATGGGCTCAGGGATATCACGCCACGTAAAGTAGAGTTATATAACAGGCAACAAAAAATATACGCAAATCTAACCTAACATAATCCCCTCAACTGGCCGAGTAGCTTTGTATTTGCTTAATTGTCATTCATGGGGCAGTTACGCCTTCGTAATGACATTCATCAGCTTATCCGCTTTAACAGATTTCGGACAACGACATGCACTGTATATGGTCAGTGTACAATAAATGAATAAATTGAAAGAAAGAAAGAAGAAAATAGATAGATAGATAGATAGATAGATAGATAGATAGATAGATAGATAGATAGATAGATAGATAGATAGATAGATAGATAGATAGATAGATAGATAGATAGATAGATAGATAGATAGATAGATAGATAGATAGATAGATAGATAGATAGATAGATAGATAGATAGATAGATAGATAGATAGATAGATAGATAGATAGATAGATAGATAGATAGATAGATAGATAGATAGATAGATAGATAGATAGACAGACAGACAGATAGATAGATAGATAGATAGATATATAGATAGATAGATAGATAGATAGATAGATAGATAGATAGATAGATAGATAGATAGATAGATAGATAGATAGATAGATAGATAGATAGATAGATAGATAGATAGATAGATAGATAGAAAAAGAAAGAAAGAACCAAATGCGCATTTTCGCAAAATATATTCCTTACAGACGACAAGAAGGAATGCAAGAAAGGGAAATATTATGGCTCGATTCGCACAATTGCACGGCGTATCGGAACCCAACTTGTCTGACGCAAGCAAGGCGTCCGTAGTGCGATATAAGAGAGAAAGCTGTAGCTATGCAATATCGCAGAGCTTCGCGGCAGCGGCTTCGAACAACGCTGTTTCTGAGGTCGCCAGTCCTACGGTTTATCTCGTCTCACGACCTTTGCGCCACCGCGCTTGCTACACATGCACAAAGGTGTAACATACGCAACGCAAACTCGTGATGCACACTTAGCGCGCTCTTCGGAGAATTTCCGCAAGCTTTGCGCGTAATACAAGCAGCGCTGCCGAACAGAGCTTTCCCACCGCCGAGAAAAGCTCAACAAGAGGTGCAATGGCTTCGTATGTGTGGCAACAGGATACATTGTTACTGTTGAAGCACTCAACTTTGTGAGCAACGTTGAAACAATAGTTGATTGTTTCGCGGTACAAGTGAAACAATAAACTTTTTGCCTGACTGATCACAGTGAATAGATCGGCACTTAATACTCAGCTTCACGCCGTTATCTTTATCTCATCACTAGTTGCTGCGCGCAACATTACTGAGACAGCATATTCTATGTTGTCATAATGTTAGATAACATTTTTTTAACGTTCCTCTTGTTATAAACTCTAGCAATACATCACAAGTGAATGCCTTTCTGTACAAGCGCGTTATGGCAATATTACATGAAAACTTATTGCAAATCCATTCATGCACTAGTACATCCGGCTAGAAAATCTAAAAAGATGTCATCTTCACATGAAAAAAAGAAAGCACAGAATGCCTCTTCATCCGGCGATTTAAAAGTTTCAACTTTCAGCTACTGCGACCTATAGACAGTTATTCTGTAAGTTATAAGTGACGTGCATTAACAAATCAGTAAATTACATTCGCTGCAAAAGCTATGTTCTACATGCTTTTGTCGCCGGCTGTACATTCATCATTAAGACATTCGCCTCTGACATCAAGTTGCATAGATTACCGTGGTATAACTGAGCTTAATAAATCGATAGCTATAAGCGTTGCACTTTGAGAACGTAATCCATAACACGGGAACTGTGTTTCAGCCGTGTTGGGTTGACGCTGCCTCATTATCCCCGCCTTGCTCACAGGGACGAGCAGCTTCACAAGCTGCGCACCACGCTGGAGTTCGACATTCTGGTGCTGGGCGGAGGTGCCATCGCCTGTGGCGTGGCACTTGACGCAGCCACCAGGGGGCTTCGCGTGGCGCTGTGCGACGTCGAGGTACGTTCATCGTTTATCCAATGCCCCCTTTGAAGCCTTGAGTAAATTCAGAAATTATCGTTAACTTACTTGTTATGCACAAATTTGTGCACACTATTGTAAAATATGCACTGAATTTTCAACGAATAACCAAGTAACAAGGTGTCAATCGGAAAAAGGAACAGGCATCTTCAGCTGAACCTAGAATGATACGGGCATAGGCTGGGGACAGGAGCAGTGGATATCAAAAAAGAAAGAAAAAAAAAGCTTTTAGATTTTTCGAAAGCTATGCGGATAGTAATTCAGTTAACTTACATGAACATGTATACAATAAATTTTCTTCGGTTTACCTAAATTGTTTAAAAAACAGGATTAAACAAAAATACCGGAGAAGTTGACAATTATGAAAAGCAAGATGAATAGGCTAGACAGCAAAATAAACAATCTTACCAATATAATATAACAGAATAAGTGTGTACCAGAGTTCCACAGCTAAATTTCGCTAGTTGTGGGACGGTGTAGCTTAACCTAATTCCGTATTTTTAATTTGGTAACTTTCTTCTTGGCTTCAATATCCTTGACAGGGCGCCCACGCCCTACATGGTACAGACAAAAGAAGCAGACAGTGCAAGCACACTGCCACCCGTAAGACGGGATCTTAACGAAGCGAGGAACATATTGTCCTCGCTCACCGATCGCCCCCTGCAGCAGACGGCACAGTATATGGCACCCGAGGGAATCCCGAAATCCTCCAATAGCATTGGCGGCCATTAGGAAAATTGTTTCACTTCCGGCAATTGTTCTGCGCGCTCTGGCGTCAAACGTCGCGAACACATGCCAGTTGCCCGTTCATGGCGAGGCCTTGCAGTGGCACTAACACCGAACGACAGTTATACACAAACAAGCAGGCGAACTAACAAAACAAATTAAAGCCTAGTTTACACGTTTAAGTCAGAGTGAAACAAATGAGATGGCCCAAGCAGGGAGGCTAATCAGAAGACAGGGCTCAGGCTTGCTACCTTGAATGAGGACTGGAAGATACAGTAAAACGCTGCATTCTGGACTATAACACGGTCGACATGCTTGCTGGTAGAAAAACACTTTATTGTTAGTGCCGCGGCCGTTGTCCGCAATTTTGTCTGGAGAAGATTTAGCGGGAGAAAAGAAACAGAATGAATGGAATAAAACATAAAAAGATCAAAATAGGGCCGCGCTTAACGTGCTCCAAACTTGCTTAGCTGGTCGACAAATAGAATGACGAAATACACAGGAAGAACAGAGGTCGTCAAAGGCGTCTCTAAAAATCGTGTAGTTCTTTGTTAATACGCAACAACCCTCAACGATTATTATCAGTGGCAAAAGAAAGGCGGTGGGATGGGGTATAGGCGTGCGTAGAGCTCCCCTTCAGGAAGGTGCAGGGTAACTCCCTATTACCCCCCCCCCCCATATGTAACAAAAGAGAGCGCCCCCTCCCCCTTGCACAGGCCGATGTGATGCGGATTAGGTCAAGAGTTGTGACCGGTTGCGTGCGTAAAAGTCGTGATATATATATATTATGAAGTCTTGGTCTGGATTACCTTTTATTAGGCCCGAGGAACCGGCAGCCGACAGCTACGATGAATGAGCCAAGATGATGATGCTACGCGACAACGATGAGGATGCATGAGCCACACATGATAATGATGATAATGTACCGGTGAAGAGGATGCGTATACTAAATGCCCACATCAATTCCCCCTACGTGAAAGCGGCCAGCCTGGCCGCGGCAAGTCAAGGGGACAAAGAACGTCGCATGAAGGGCTTCATACGGGAGACATGGACGACCTCTGTAGTTCGATAACGGCGATCTGCTGGGGCTACAAGTGGCGTCACGCGATAATTCACTGGTGAAGTCTTTTCAAGAACGGTGTACGGCCCAATAAACCGAGGCTGAAATTTGTCGCACTGAAATTGTTCGCTGAATGACCGTATTGTAGGCAAAAGTGACGAATGGTAGAACAACGTCCCAGTTTTTGTGGTCTGGTTGAATATAGGCGGCGATCATGTCCGCAAGAGTGCGGTGGAATCGCTCAGTGAGGCCGTTAGTCTGGAGATGATAACTAGAGGCAGTCTTGTGAGTTGTGCCGGAGGTCTGAAGAAGTTCTTTCACTAGTTGTGAAAGAAAGGCCCTTCCACGGTCACTCAGCAACACACGTGGAGCACCATGACGCAGTATAATGGCTCGGAGGATGAAATCGGCAATCTCAGAAGCTGAACCTGTAGTAACGGATGCCGTCTCGGCGTAGCGCGTCAAATGGTCAATGGCTGTTACTATCCACCGGTTTCCAGCAGCACTGACTGGGAGGGGGCCATAAAGATCGACGCCTACAACTTCGAATGGTGTGGCTGGGCACGGAAGAGGCTGTAGTTTACCGGCGGGAGCAGATGTTGGTAGTTTTCTACATTGGCAGGTAGTGCAGGACCCGACGTACCGAGCTACACTAGTGGTAATGCCTGGCCAATAAAACCGACTTCGAAGGCGATCGTAGGTTTTATGGTAACCAAGGTGACCAGCAGTCGGATGGTCATGAAGTGCCCTGAGGACTTCGGACCGAAGCGATCGGGGTAGAACGGGAACCCAGCGGTGACCGTCAGGATGGTAAATTTTGCGGTACAGCACCGAGTTGTCCAGCTTAAATTGCGAGAGTTGGCGACAGAGCCTTGCATTAGGTGGACGGGAACTGCCAGTGAGGTAGTCTATAATACGTCGACAGTATGGGTCAGCCAACTGTCAAGAAGGAAAATCGTGCGGGTCGTCCGAAGGCAGCTGGTCCATAGAGGCGAGAGAGGAAACCGCCGTAGACGTGGACTTTGAGGGTGTGTTGTGCAAATTGATGGCGGAAACCCCGAGTGGAGTCGCTGGTAGTGGGCAGCGAGAAAGAGCATCGGCGTCACTATGCTTCCTGCCACACTTGTACACGATCTCAAAATCATATTCTTGGAGGCGTAGAATCCAGCGTCCGAGGCGTCCCGACAAGTTCTTGAGTGTCGAAAGCCAACATAAAGCATGGTGGTCGGTCACAATGGTGAAATGGCGGCCATGCAGATATGGACGAAATTTCTGTACTGACCAAACGATGGCGAGGCACTCCTGCTCGGTGATCGTGTAGTTCCTCTCGGCTGCGGAGAGGACGCGGCTGGCGTATGCAACGACTCGCTCTCGCGAAGAGTTGTCGTGTTGCAGGAGCACGGCTCCTAAACCGCGGCCGCTAGCGTCTGTGTGCAGGAAGGTCGGTGCATCGTCGTGAAAATGAGCAAGTACAGGGTTGTTCGTGAGGGCACTCTTCAACCTGTCGAAAGCCGATTCACATTCCTGAGACCACTGAAATGGCATACCGGAAGCAAGTAGCTTATGAAGTGGTGCGGCTATGGAGGCAAAGTTTTGTATGAATCGCCGAAAGTAAGAGGCGAGACCAAGGAAACTTCGCAAATCTTTTGGTTTGTCAGGGCGAGGGAAGCGAAGCACTGCAGCAGTTTTATCAGGGTCTGGGCGAATTCCGTTCTTGCTCACAATATGACCGAGTACCTTGATAGATCTGCTGGCGAAATGGCACTTTTTGGTGTTAATTTGAAGACCAGCGCCCGCAAGACAAGTCAGGACCTCGTCCAAGCGTTGCAGATGTTGACGAAACGTCGATGAAAAGACAACAATGTCATCGAGGTAACATAGGCAAGTCTTCTATTTCAGGCCACGCAGCACGGTGTCAATCATGCGCTCAAAAGTTGCGGGCGCATTGCATAGACCGAACGGCATAACACTGAATTCGTATAGGCCGTCCGGGGTTGCAAACGCAGTTTTTTCTTCATCATCTTCGTGCATGGGGATTTGCCAATAGCCGGAACGCAAGTCGAGGCTCGAAAAGTATTCAGCACCCTGTAAGGAATCTAGGGCGTCGTCGATGCGTGGCATGGGGTATACGTCCTTTCTAGTGATCTTATTGAGTGCTCGGTAATCGACACAAAATCGTACGGAACCGTCTTTTTTATGTACCAGAACGATGGGCGACGACCAAGGACTGGTTGAGGGTCGGATTATCTCCCGTTGGAGCATATCGTCTACGTTTTCTTCAATGATTTTCGTTCAGCTAGAGAGACGCGGTACGGACGGCGGTGCACAATGGATGTTCCGTCGGTCTGAATACGATGTGCTGTAGCAGTTGTCTGGCCCAGGGTGGATGAATGAACGTCAAAGGAGTTTGCATGCTTTTCCAACAAATCAAGCAGCTGCTGCTTCTGTGAGTCATTCAAGTCTTTGTTGATGGCTGCTGTAAAGGCCGAGGAAGCAGCATGATCTGCAGGATGGCCTTTAGAGGAGACAGGGGTAAGAGGCACAATGCACACAGGCTGCAGATCGGCAACGCAGGCGACAGTAGTGCCCCGTGGTAGTAAAATTTTATCTTGTGTGGTGTTGGTAGCAGCGAGGACAGTTGATCCATTATTGAAGCGAGCCACACCTGATGCGAGAGCTATGCCTTTATTAAGGCAACACGGTGACGGAGTGACCAAAATGTCACCAGAGTCGACGTCGTTGGTCAAAACTGTCACTAATTGATGTTCGTTTGGTGGTAACTCGATGTCTACTGCAGCGATGAGTCGAAGTGGCCTGTAGGTTTCGTCGTTGAGCAAGTGGTCCGTGTCAGTAAGATGGACGACACGTTGTGCACAGCAAATAGCCGCAGAAGCAGAGGAAAGAAAGTCCCAGCCTAAAATGAGTTCATGGGAGCACGGGGATAGCACAGCAAATTCTATATGATGAAGAATTTCGTCGATTAGTACACGGGCAGTACAGAGAGCGGAAGGGCGAATCATTGTTCCCTGAGCTGTAACCAGTGTCGATCCATCATAAGGCGTCGTGACTTTTCGAAGACGGGCACACAAATCAGCACGAATAACAGAAAACGCAGCCCCAGTGTCCACCAAAGCATCAACGTCCACTCCCTCAACTGTGACCGCAATCATATTGTAGGGGCGCGCTGGAGGAA